AAGACTATATTTTCACATTTTTAAAAAAGTTGATTAGTTCAAGATGATTCACGCTGAACCACCGTGGCAGAGCCACTTCTACAGAAATCCTAACAAAATCTTTGCAGGATTTAAACGAAGACAAAAAGTTGTCATGAATCTTTGATTAAAACACGTCTGAAGAGAGGCGAGCTGGTATTTGATTTTGCAGTCACAGAAACAAAAATTAAATTATATAATAATTAAAGTCTGCAGTCCGGTGTGCAGAAATTATGGTGTTGGGATAAAAATCCAGAGCAGCATGGAGAACAATGCATTTCCTCTCGGTGTGACACCACCGCCTCTTCGGCTTCTTATAGGCTCTTCAAGCGGCTTGTTAGCTTCCTTCCAGATCATGTGGCTTCCTGGAGAGCTGCCAGGGCCTGCTCTCCCCTCCTCCCATGACCCATAAGGCCATTCTGCTGCCTGTCCCGTGTGAGACAGGAAACTGGGCCCAGTGGACAGTGACCTCACCTCAGGAAGAGTAGGTGTGTGCACTGAGACTGTGTGTGGTTTTACAATTCTCCATCCTCCTCTGGAAAAACAGAAAGTGTTTGCTGCTTCAGCTACTTCACAGAAATCTTTACACGAAGGTTTAAGGTTTTTATTTTTCACAGCAATTTTTAATGTGTACATGTCCAGCATGGCTTGTTAACACACTCAACTAGAGGTGAACACACAAAACAAATGTAGAAAAATTCAACAACTTCTAAAATAAAAATAAAACACTAACACCTCCAAGCGTCTAACTGGAATGTTATTAACATCAAATTATCAATTTCAAAGAAAATATAGCACAACATAAAACAAACCTCTTTAACTGTGATCAGCTGTCACATTTCTCTTTTCCGCTCGTCCCAGGCAGAGATGACGCTTGAAGTTATTCATTTTCCAGAAAGTGGCAGATTTAAACGACCCTAACGTGAGGTGCCAGGTTCTACGCCTGACGCTCAGCACAGACCCGGCAGGATCCAACAAACTCCTCTCTGCTGTAGCTGCAACAAGAAGATGGAGGCAGTTTTCTTAAGGAGGATGCTCAACAGGTCCAACGTCTGTGTGAAGCACAATGAGCAGATCCGCTGCTGAAAGTCATTCGTCAGCCATCTTTTCCGTTCCGTTTCCACAGTGAGTGGTTCGAGTTAGTCGAGTGCTGTTTTAAAACGAGTGGCTTTGTTGAGGCAAGAGAGCTCTGATGGATTCTGGGGGGGGAAAGGGAAGCGTATTTCCAACTTGCCGTTGTTTGAGCTTGAGTCATTGTAAGCTACAGGAGGTTACTGAAAGAAAACGGGAACAGAACACAGCCAAACGATAATTTCTTTAAATCCTTTAAAGTCCGTTCTGTTATTCTGTTTCCACACAACTGATGCAGCGACTCCTGGAAGCTTGCAGTTTTCACACAGTGCTGAGATACAAAGGGTCAGAAAATTACATACACACACCAGTAAACGGCAAACTACAATACCTGACTTCTGAATGACCGAGGGGGTCTAAACACAGGTGTTCTTTAAAAGAAAAATAGAACGACAGAAAGGAAAAAAGTCGCCTGTGCTGAGAGCCAGAACATCAGGACTGAGTCAGGACGGCTCAGCGTGCCGTGTTTACAGAAACACATCCTGAGAGAGATGAAAGCTCAGCATGCCCTAACCTTCCCCACACTGACATCGGGGGCTCATGCTTCAAAATGAATTTATTAATTTGCAACGCCTCACCCTGCTTCTAGATCTAAAATGAATGAAACAAAGCTGATAGGTACGGTGTTTATTTAAACCAGTCCCTCCTCAGCTGAACTGGGAGCGTGGATCTAAAAACAGGTCTGGATGTGAGGTTAGACCCCAGCCTGGACTGGTTTCCTAATGGGAAGGGGGGAGTGGGGGGAGACTGGGGGAGACAATAATGTGTTTGTGTGAGTATGCATCAGGAAGAGAGAGAGAAACCTAAGGGAGGGGAAAGAGGGTGGAAGAGACTGGCCCATTGTTGTTCTTACGATCGCTTAGGCCGAGCTGTGTATGCAGGGAGGTGGTGGTGGTGGTGGGGGATTTACAACTGGAGAGAGGGGCTGATTAACTGAACACCTCGACACATGAAGGCTTGCATCAATCAAATCTGACTCATCTCTTTCAGCACGTGTCTCTCGCCTGAAGTCCCGAGACAATTTGTGGAGACTGAACTCAGGAATTCCTCTGAAAATGCACCAACCGTGGTTTCAAGGACAGCAAACTCAGGCCCACTCAGCTTATTCAAGATGGATGGCTCTGCTTTGATGTGGTTGTTTGGAGGTCACAGAGAGAAGCCAAGTTGATAAACCTTATTAGTGTCTAATGCAGTGAGTCTGCAGTTTCGGAGGCTGTCCAGACGCTCGGCTGTCTGAGCGCTGTCCTGGTCGGGCAAATGGAAACGCAGGACGGGAGAGGACGATGCTTTTAACGCTGATTAACTGTGTCCACCAACCCCCCCACCCACAAAGTCCCGATAATGAGGAGGTGAATGATGGACACAGGACACCGTTTCCTAGCAACTGCAATCGACCCACCTCAGATCAATCTGCAGACTTCTGTCAGTAGGAGCACCCTGGAAACTGCTTAGGTGTCTCACCTCGACCCGTCTTCACCTAACAGGAGCTCTGCAGCGAGGCAGCCTTATTATCAACGCAAGTGCCTCGAAATGGTTCAGAAGAAGAGTAAATCTAGTGATACTTGGGATTTACAGCAAAAAGCAGCTTTATATAAAGGTACAAGCTTTCATCATAAAGGTTGTAAAGGAACTGTCAACGACTGAAGGTTAGAGTTTCATCCTCGGCCTGCGTTGCAGTTGAACCACCAGGAGAATTTGGGTCACATGGCCTGTTGCCAGTCTTCTCTGTCCCTCTGACCCCTCCTAGTTCCTGAGATCCAAACTTTGCAAGCTCAGGAAGACTCAACCTCCTTCCCCTCCTCCATTATCAGCCACAGGACTGTCATACCCTCCTTACCCTCCCCAGTCAGATGTGAGTAACTCGACGCCCTCAGAATGAGCTTTTCCTTTTTTCCCATTAAACTTCATGGGACCCAGTCTAACCTGGTTTTTAGACGTCAATTAACAAAAAAACTACATCTTTGGTTTTGCTCACTTTTTGTATAACTTTAAACCCAAATACAAAAACAAATTATATATTTTTTTCTTCTTTTTTTTGTTACAAACTACCATAACTAACACTGGGTTTTACTGTATGTTTGTATAAAGAATATTAAAATAAAACACAATTTGAAAGGGAAACATTTGTTAAAAAAAACAAACAAAACAAATGTTTAAAGTTTGCTGGTTAAAATTTAAATATGTGGAAAAATCAAAAGCTGGATTTCAGTAAATCTGATTTGAATCAAAGTATTCACTCATCAGATAATCATGGTTGATCTATAGTTTAGGATATTTGAAGGCACTACTATAGGGCTGAAATAATAAGCATTTAGAAAAGAAACTTCCGTCTTTTTCTTTGTTCTTGACAGATTAAAAAGGAGCAGAGTTTTGATGTGGGAGTTAAATGCTTAGGTCAAATGTCTCAGGGGGTTGAAGACTTTTGCACACACCTGCTGCTTTTAATGAAGAGGATTAGTCTTTGCTCACATGAGCCTGAGAGAGCCGAGCCCACCCCGGTGATTACAGATACCCTATCTCTCCACCAATATGACCACAGGTCATCATTCTTCGGCTGTCTTGTGTTTACAGTGTGATAGAAGGTGTGTGGGACATTAGCTGCACGCTGCCACAAATCAAGTTTTAAACTCCCCTCTTCTGTGTCCCAGTGAGCTGGCTTTAGTTAGTTACTTGGTTCATGTTGCACAAAGAAAAAGTATCATTGTTGACAGAGAAGAGCCACAGCGAGTGTCAGTCTTTTAACAGAAAGCAAAGGAAGATTTAAAGCTCTTTAAGTACTGTCTATATATGGGGGGGGGGGGGGGGG